CCACCAACCCCCAAGCCATCTAGAGGCTGGGCCAAACCGGTCCTCAGATGCAGAGCGCCTGACCTAGCCTTTTACAGCTTCTTAGAAGGCAGGGGCGTGGGTATCCAAGCTCAGATAAAAATGATAAAGTGGAGTATTTAAACAGGGCCAGGAATGAAGAGAAGTTAAATTTGTGCCCTGAGCGCCTTGCTTAAGGGGAAACTGCCTTTTAGGCGCATGCAAGTGCAGGGCTGGCATCTGAGAGTAAGGGCCTCCTTAAATTTTATACCCTGGGCACCTCATTTGCCTACCTTTAAAATCTAATCCTAGGAGTTGTTTTCACTTTTTCCTTCCAGGCTTTCTGAGGCAGTTATAAATCCCCAAAATGACTGTGCGGAATGAGGATGAAATAACCTGATGTCAATTGTCTCTGAGTGCAGGCAGCTGACGAGGTGGCCCCAGAAGAAAAGATGTGGCCGCTAAGCTTTCAATACCTGTTACTCTCCTTTGTTAATAAATAATAAACACCATACTTTCATTTTCACAGTTCTTTCTGTGAAAATATATGTATTTTTTAATAAATACATATATTAAAAGTAAGTAGTGTAAAGACAATTACTCCAGACGAAAGTGAAGGCTATATATATACATTCACACACACATGTATAATATATATATATATATATATATATATATATATAATATATATATTTATCATAGTATATTCACTTCTGGTGCTTATGTTGCTAACTTTATAGGGAACACAGTCATGGAATTTTAGGGGAAAATATTCTAAAACTCATTTTCAAAACACGTTCTCATTATTTTATAGTTCTGATAGAACACCCTTGACTGGTTCCAATTTTAAATACTAAGGATTTTTAATCCTTGTTTTAATAGACACTAGATGGTGCTCAAAGATCATTAGTATAAGTCTTGAACAAATTAAACCTTAAGAATTTTGTCACTTGGAGCCAGTTTATCGAATCCAAAGCACCTGGAAAAAAACCCTCCAACACTTCTCATCTTTCTACCAGAAGGCTGCCATTCATCAATGGAAACAGTGATAAAAATAAACCTCTCATTAGTGAGAACAGCACATCCCTTGTTGTAAGGAAAGTCTATGAAACAGATTAAAATGTAAACATTTCCTTGGGTGTGTGACTCACCAATGATGTGGTCACAGTGTTCAGAATTCTGACCAGTGAGGCCACAGCACGCCTCCCATGTTAACAGGGTGTAGTTTCAGCCCCTCAGCTCTTCTCTGCGGGCTAATGAGTGAGTGAGGAGGGATGTGTAACTAGAAAATTGCTAGATAACAATGGTGCTGGCAGAAGAACTACGGTGAACAGCTGTAAAATCATGCGGGGTGCAGGATTTAATGAAAATATTACTTCTATTATTAGAAGTAATATAAAACAGCCCTGCATGTCCTGGTAAACAGTTAACCATTTACTTTCTGAAAATCAAGGGTTCACTGGGATGAACTATTTTATTCTGATTCAAATAAAAATCGATGTGCAATTTTCCCTTCATTGGAGAACCCAGTTTTACAAACGTAAAAGAGCTCAGGATAGTGCACAGAAACCAAAACCTGGGTTAAACAGATTAATCTTCGTGATCACAATAAGGATACAATCCTCAAGTAGCTGCAGGAAAAAATAGAGGTAAAAGGAGAAAAAAAAAAAAAAAAATGCAACTTATATTTTTAAAAGTTCAAAAGTAAGTAATGCATTAAGTCAGATTTTGGGGGGACTCAGCAATTTTTAGATGATAAAGTGCTTCTTCATAGCAACAGACAACATATCTCAATGGTCAAGCATTCAATTAATTCTAACAGAATACTTTGACTTTTAAACCTGGAATTTAGCAAGGAACTTGCAGGTTTGGAAAAGGACACAAATTCTGAAATAACTGAAAAACAGATCTCCCTTGATATAACTAGAACCTGGTTTCAATAATTTTATTTGCCTCTGTCAGCTTTCCTATCTCCAATCACCCTCAGGTCTCCGTTTGGATTCAACAGACAGTCTTTCCCCAAAGTGGGGCATGTCCCTGGCACAGCTGTCACATGTTTCTATGACACGCACAGGAGCACCTGAGCAGGTGAGACAAGGCCCGTGGACCTTCAGCCACTGTCTGACCTTCCCAGGCTGAGGCTCTCCGGGAGACCGTGACCCTCATGCCAGTGGGAAAACATGGGAAGACCAGGCCCTCTGGTCTGTGTTCCGGGTTCTTTAGGAAAAAGTCGTGTTTTCGGACTTTTACTTAACCCACAGGTTATTTTTCTCTACCTGTCTTGCCCATAAAAACCGAGTGGAGACAAAAACGACAAAGGCAACCAAGTCAAAACAGACCGCCCTCCCTTACCTTCAGTGAGCAAGCAGCCTTGGCTTTCATCTCCTGCTTGGCCTTCATCTCTGCCAGCAGCCCGCTGCCCATCATTTGGACCCTGTACCTTCGCCCTCCTTGGGGGCTGCCCTGGCTCTCACTCCGGTCCACCTTCCCCACGTCTTCCCCTTGACTTTCTTCTAGGGAGTCAGGTGTCTTGATCTCCTCTACCCGATCAGCACTGCCATTGTGCTCGGCTGGCTTCGTGTCCTTCCTGGGGGTGTCCACAGCTGGACTTCTGACTCCTGCCCTTGGAGAGGAGAGTTCTTCTGTCATCAAGACCGTTGGCGACCGCTCAGGTTTGGTCCGGGGTTTGATTAAGTTGAGAAAGCCACTTTTCCGAAAGTCTCGCTTTTTCTTCTCGTCTCCTCCCTCACTAAGCTCATGGGACTCTGAGCCTCTTGCTGACCCTCTCCTGTGATTCAAAAGAACAAATCCTGTTGGGTTTACTGTGATGAAAGCTCCAGCAAGAATCAGTCAAAACAGAAACGGAGACTGCTGTTTCTACGGCAAACATTCCGCAGCATTAAAAAAAAAAAAAGTTGACATTGGAAATAGGAATGTTGAATATCATCATATCCACACAAATCAACAATGGGAATCTGATGTGACTGGGAGGACTGAGAGCAGAGTGGAGTTTATGTTTAAATGCTCCAGAGAGCTTCCAGAAAAGGTTGGCTCCACCCAAGACATAGGTGGGCGACGGACTGCCTTATTTAATTTGGCGGGCACTGGAAGGGCCAGATTTCCCCTTAAGCCCCTAAAATCCTTCCCTGGTCATTAGATAACATCTGAAATCCCGCCCTAAGTGCTCAAACCAAGATCCGGATCGCTGCTTAAATGTAATACCACTGAAAGAGGCAACAACATGAAAAAGCAGACAGTAAGCTTTAGTAGAGGTCTGTCAGGAAGTGGATGGGGAGAAAGTGTAAATGATGTGCGTTGAGTGGGAGGTATCATCACTGCCTTTCACTTAAAGCTGGAGGGATGAATACCCGTTTAGCTCCTTGAGTCCCCGGGAAAATCCCAGTGAGGGATTGAAAGAAAAAAAAAGGCATAAGCCCCAGAGGGGAGAAAAGGCAAAAACAACAGTTCGGAAGCCACAATAGTTAGGAGTGAAAACTGACTTAATCTGGGAAAGCTGACCTCTAAAGCATTAGTAGGGGAGGCCCTGAAGCAAATGGATTTCAGGTGAAGGGGAACAGAATGTGCCACCCCAAAATATGCCTCTCTGGCACAGGATTATTTGAGGCTGATGATTTTTAAGGAACAGCAGACACGGGACAAGCTCTGAAAAGAGAGTAGTTACCTTTCTGGAAGAGAAATTTACATTTCTAAGGAAAATCTCCATTTGTAAGGGTGTATTCCTTTCAGTACCAGGAAAAATAGAATCACTAAACCCCTAGAAATTTATCAATGGAGAAGGCAGGGACTTAAACGTGCATAACGACCTTACCCTTGTCTATCTGGTTCAGGATAACCTCCCCAAACTGTCCCCAACCTCATCCGTCTTCTGTCTTTAGCTGAAGATGGTATCTAAGGTGGTAGGTGTGGGCCATTTCCAGGAATTATTGTTTTCCTTGGGATCTCCCATGTATACAGGGGGTATGCATGTTAATAAACTCCGTGAAACAAGAATAATAGAAAAATGTGAGGGCATAAGTGGAAGACTCAAGGTTGGAAGATAAGACTGAGGAAATCGCACAGAAAGTTGATGTGGGGAGGCTAAGAAAAAGAATGAAGAAACAGAAGAGAAACAGTTTAAAAAAACCCAAAACTAGTGGATTAACAGAGGAAACAATAATGGGAGTTTTAGAAAAAGAATATAGAGAAAAAGCAAAGAAATTTAGAAGAAATAATTCACAAAAAACTCCAGAAGCAAAGAATATAAATTCCCAGATTGAAATGGCTCATTAGTGCCTAGCAAATGGGTTTCAACAAAACAAAATCAAAAAACCCACGCAGAGGATATCATCATAAAATGTCAATATACCAGGAGCAGAAAGAAGATCCCAAATGCTTCCTGAGAGGAGGAAATAAAGAACAAGCCACAAACAAAGGATCGGGACTCAAAATGACACTGGATTCTTACAGCAACTGGAAGCTCAAAGGATACTGGGACCAGGTTTTCAAAATTCTAAAGAAAAATGGATTCCAATCTAGAGTTCTATACCTAGTCACACTATTAAGCAAAATGCAAGACATATGCATTTCAGAAACTCACTTCCCATGCTTTCTTTCTCAGCAAGCAAACCGAGGAGGTGCTGCACCAAACGAGAGTGAAGTAATAAGGAAGACGACGACCGGGCCAAAGGAAACAGGAAAGACACAGGAATGAGCGAGGGGAGGCCCCCAGCAGACAGTGAAGGGACATCCCAGGAGGACAGCAGGGAACGAGGCCCTACAGGTCACCCTGGGGCGATCAGAGAGCAGTGAAGGATGTGCCCAGGCAGATGAAACTGAGAAGACTTGAGGAAATTTATACCTTTACTGGAGACTTAGGAGATATGTCAGAGATAGAAATACAGAAAACTAAGCAAATACAAAAGGAGACAATTGTTAACTCCAGGGAAAATAAAAAGTTGTATAGCAGATGAACCTGTTTGCAAAGCACAAACAGAGACACAGACATAGAGAACAAACGTATGGACACCATGGAGGTTGGGGGGGGGTGAATTGGGAGATTGGGATTGACATATATACACACTACTATGTATAAAATAGGTAACTAATGAGAACCTATGCCTAGCACAGGGAACTCTACTCAATGCTCTGTGGTGACGTAAATGGGAAGGAAATCCAAAAAGGAGGGGATATATGTATACGTATAGCTGATTCACTCTGCTGTACACAACACTGTAGAGCAACTATACCGCAATAAAAATTTTTTAAAAAAAGAGTTGTATAGGAAAGGAAATGTAATCATACCATACCTTATAAGTTAGCTGTGAATATTTACATGCTTATAATGAAGTAAACATTAAACACTGATGTAACCAACAGTTATGACATAACTAAATAAGATGGCAGGAAGAGGAAAAGTGTGTGTGTGTGAGACAGTTTGCCTGCATGCGTTTGGTGGACAGAAGGGTCAGACTGTATAAGAGCTAAGGTATCATCCTCTATATAGTAAGAAGCCACCAGTTATGGTTACTATTTAAAACTAAAAAATAAGAAATTGCAACAACAACAAAAAAGAAATATGGAAGCAAAATCAAAAGTAAACGGCTAAAGGAACAGGAATTAATTGCCTCTGGGGAATAGGGAAA